TAAAAAAAAAAAAAAAAAAAAAAAAAATATTCCTTTTTATCTTTTTGTTGATTTGTTTGTTGTTGTTTATCTATTAGGGGGAAATGACACTTCTTTAAGCACTTGTCCGTGCTCTGTAGCAGCAGCGGCAGCAACAGCAACAGCAGCAACAGCAACAGCAGCAGCAGCAGCAGCAACAGCAGCAGCAGTAACAGCAGCAGCAGTAAAAGCAGCAGCAGTAACAGCAGCAGCAGTAACAGCAGCAGCAGTAACAGCAGCAGCAGTAACAGTAGCAGCAGTAACAGCAGCAGCAGCAGCTGCTGCTACACAGCTGCCTTGGTTGCTAAGAAGGAGACAGGAGATCTTCTGTCCCTTTATCCCTCTAGTCGTATAGCAACGCTATATGCATCCCCTGCTGCTGCCACCTGCTGCTGCTGCTGCCGCTGCTGCTGCTGCTGTTGCTGCTGCTGCTGCTGCTGGGGACCTGCACAAGGAGCTTCTATCATTGTTGCTGCTATAAACAGTTAATTCTATAGAATTATCTGTATTTTCTGCACTTATCTATTTTTTTCCCCCTTTTTTTCCTCTTTTTTTTTTATTATAATTATGTATTAATATAATAATATATATTATAATATATCTTTCTTTTCCTCTTAATAAGGAGAAAAAGAAAGAAAATATTGATCGGATGCCTTCTCCCTCTCTCTGCATGCATGCATGCATGCATGCATACAAGGAGGCAAAAAGAAAGAAAGAAAGAAAGACGAGTTTTGGGGCTTTATTAGACAGTGTCTTACGTGTGGCTGCTGCATGCAACCATAGCAGCAACATAAGTAGGGGAGGGAAAATAAATAAATAAATAAATAGATAAATAAATAAATAAATAAATAAATAGATAAATAAATAAATAAGGAGATAATAATAAATAATTCCCTTAAGGGGACAAGTTGTTTATTTATTTGTCCCCCTTAGTTTATACAGCAGCAAAGGGGAGTTAATATACAGACACACAGCAGCTGCTGCAGCAGCTGCAGCAGCTGCAATAGCAGCAGCAGCAGCAGCTGCTGCTGCTAAAGAAGCAGCAAAAAGGAGAGAAAAGGAGACACAAGGAGACAAAACATAACAAGGAAACATGCCAGTCTTTATAATAAATATTTATTTATTTATTTATTTATTTATTTATTTATTTATTTTATTTATTTATTTATTTAGTTATTAATTAATTAATTAATTAATTAATTAATTTATTTATTTATTTATTTATATATGTATATATATAACACCAATATGTTTTTATACAATTGTACAGCAGCAATTAAATAAATAAATAAATAAATAAATAAATAAATAAATAAATAAATAAATAAATAAATAAACAAATAAATAAATAAATAAATAATTTAATTAATTAATTATAATTATTTATTATTTATTATTTATAAATAATAATAAAAAGAATAAAAGAAATAAAAAATTTATTACTTGTATTGCTGCTGCTGCTGTTGCTGCTGCTGTCGATTTCGTCTCATTGCTGCTGCTGCTGCTGCTGCTGTTGCTGCTGCTGCTGCTATTCTATGGCTAGGTTTAATTATTTATTTATTTATTAAATAAATTAAATAAATAAATAATAAATTAAATATAAATAAATAAATAAAAAGAATAAATACACTGTATAAGACACTGCATGCAAGGGAAGGGGCCCCCCGCTGGCGACAGCAGCAGCAGCAGCAGCAGCAGCAGCAACTGCTGCTGCAGCTGAGGCAGCAGCAGCAGCAGCTTTAGAATTCTTCAAAGACACGAAAGGAATACACAAGATAACAAGAGGAGTTTATTATTGGCACGAGCCAACTCCCTCCTGTCTGCTGCAGCAGGAGCAGCAGCAGCAGCAACAGCAGCAGCTGCAGCAGCAGCAGCATTGCATGTGCTCTGCATGCGGCACAGCAGCAGTTGTTACAAAAACCACCCAACCTCTGTTGCTTATCTGCAAGCAGACAGAGACAGCAGCAGCAAACAGCAGCAGCAGCAAACAGGAGCAGCAGCAGTTGCTGCTAGCAGCACAGACCAACAGCAGCACAACACTTGGAACCCTGGGATCATCTTCTGCTGCTGCTGCTGCTGCAGCAGCAGCAAAGGAACACTCTGCTTCTTGGATCTTGGAGAGATAAGCAGCAGCAACTGCAGCAGAAACAGCAGCAGCAACTGCAGCAGGAACATCAGCAGCAGCAACAGCAGCAACAGCAGAAAGGAGCAGCAGCAAGTGTCGTAGTGCCTCTTCAGTAGCTGCTGCCCCTCTAGCAGCAGCAGCAGCAACAACAGGAACTGCAGCAGCAACGAGGAGAGCAGCTGCAGCAAGACACATCAGTCCCATTAGACATTCACTACGAGGATGTGCTAGCAGCAGCAGTAGCAGCAGCAGAAGCAGCAGCTGTAGGAGCAGCAGCAGCAGCAACAGCGGCTGGAGCAGCAGCAGCAGCGGCAGCTGAAACAGGAGGGAGGGTTGTCTTATCAGCCCACTTGGATAGCGGGATCAGCAGTGGCAGCAGCAGCAGCAGCAGCAGCCACTGCAGCAGCAGCAGCAACAACTGCAGCAGATGGGACTGCAGCAACTGCAGGCTTTGCCCCTTTTGCTGTTATAGTTGCAGCTGCAGCAACTGCTGCT